TTCTGATCGGCAAGTCCTAGGCTCTGTGGTTTAAACCACAGCGCCACCTGTGTCCCTCTCTTCCAGCCCTAGGATTCTATAATTCTTTGACCCAAACCAATAGCTTCAAGTTACAAGAAAGGAGATTCCAACTAAATGTTCAGGAAGAACATTAGTAAGAGCTGGTCGACAGTGTTCAGAAAGTGGTGGACTCTCCTTCTCTGGAGGTTTTTAAACAGAGGCCATCTGTCAGGGATTGCTATGATGGCAGGGGTTAGAACTAAATGATCCTTGAGGTCCCTTCCAACCCCAAATTTCTATGATTCTGCAACATGCTATGGCTTAGCTCAAAGTAGCGGGAGAACTGGGGAAGGAGCAAAATGGCTTCTGTCTCCTGTTCAGGAACCCTTGCATTTGCAGAAAGCCGTGATTTGGCTCAGTGTTTCATGTGAACCTGAGCACAGAAATGGAGCCAGGAAAAAATGTTGAGAAAATATTTTTTGCTTATGTTTTAATGTAACAACATAAACATTATTATTCAATGGAATAATAATGGAGTTGTGGGGGAGGCTCCAGAAATCTAAACTGAGCCTATCTGAAAATGACTCAAGCAAACTGTTATTTCAACAGCTCAAATGCCATAGCAGCTACTAACAGGTAGGACCAGATAGTTCGAGAGATCATGAATTAATATGCGCAGGGGCATGATGAGCACAGTCTGATTGTTAATATAAGAAACATTTTCCCCAAGCTATTAGTTCATCTCTGAATGTTCAGCCCTTGTGGAAAACTGTTTTAATGGGGTTGAACCAGAATGGGTAATCCATGATGAAAGATTATATATTTCTGCATCTTTCAACAATAGAATCATTCGTTGTCAGCTAATTTTCTAACCAAGTAAACAAATGCTGGGTTTCAGCTCTTCTGGACACATTAATTAAATTTTGCATCTTTCAACAAGGGAATATAACAATACAAAGGTTATTCAATAAACTGAAATTAAACACTGTGTCATTGTTATTGCATGCAAAAAAAAAATCAGACGGGAAATATTATAAATATACTTTATTGTTCCTAACATACTTAGTGTTTTAACAAGTGGGGCCTACAGTAAAACATTGCAATCTCCCCTCACCCCTTTATAGGCATGCTCCTGTTTAGGGCGTCAGCCAGTTATGTTGTCCTTCAGGGTGGCACTGTGGTCTAAACCACTGAGTCTCTTGGGCTTGCCAATCAGAAGGTTGGCGGTTCAAATCCGCACAACGGGATGAGTTCCCATTGCTCAGTCCCAGCTCCTGCCAACCAAGCAGTTTGAAAGCACACTAGTGCAAGTAGATAAATAGGTACCGCTGCAGCTGGAAGGTAAATGGCATTTCCGTGCACTCTGGTTTCCGTCACGGTGTTCTGTTGCATCAGAAGCAGTTTAGTCCTGCTGGCCACATGACCCAGAAAAACTGTCTGTGGACAAACACTGGCTTCCTCGGCCTGAAAAAGATGAGCTCTGCAACTCCATATTTGCCTTTTACTAAACTTAACCGTCCAGGGGTCCTTTACCTTTACTTTACTTTATTTTATTTTACTTTAGTGGGATGCAGGTGGCGCTGTAGTCTAAACCACTGAGCCTAGGGCTTGCCGATCGGAAGGTCAGCGGTTGGAATCCCCGTGACAGGCACTGGTGGAGGAAGAGTCGTGCGGGAGGAGCGCACCACCCCTGGCAGCACGATCCCAGTGGGGTGCCATTGTGGCTGTCCCCCACCTGCGCTGGGTGCCATGCCCCCAGGATGCACACCAGCCCTGCCCCCGCCTGCTCTCCGCCCCCCGTCCCCCCCAGTGCCGGAGCAAGAAGCTCTGCCACTGGCAACGGGGTGAGCTCCTGTTGCCAGTCCCAGCTCCTGCCAACCAAGCAGTTCGAAAGCACATCACAGTGCAAGTAGATAAATAGGTACCACTCTGGCAGGAAGGTAAATGGTGTTTCCGTGTGCTGCTCTGGTTTGCCAGAAGCAGCTTAGTCATGCTGGCCACATGATCCAGAAAAACTGTCTGTGGACAAATGTCGGCTCCCTTGGCCAGTAAAGCGAGATGAGCGTTGCAACCCCAGAGTTGTCCATGACTGGACTTAACTGTCCTTTACCTTTACATGATGTTATCCTCTGAATTTTTTAACTCTTCCCCCACAATAATACTTATACATCTCAATATTTTTTCCAAAAAATTGCTAACACTGAACTGGAATCCCTCTCAAAATGTAGATTAATCTGGGAATAATATTCATCTTGAGAGCATTAACCATTCCCCATAGGGTACTCCCATCTATCAATATCTAAAGAAACCTCATTAATTACAAATACTCCTATATTACTGGAAGCTATTAGTCATTATTTTTCAACCAATGAGGACATCTACATAGAGATTTCTTTTCAATGCAGTGACCAGGAATCAGACTTTGCAGAGCAATTCCCATTAATGTTAAAATGAATTATATGATTCAAGTCCCATACACAAACATGGAAAATCTGTATCTTGATGTTTGTTAATTCAATGCACGTTGTGAATTGCATGGTAGCTCCCCGGGACTAGTGACGAAGCAATTTGTGTAAGCAGAGGCAGTGCCAAGTGACCCAGAAGGATTCTGTAAATACCCTAGACACCCCCTCTGGGCGATAGCTGGTCTCACTTTACATCAGAACTGCAAAATAACCCCAACAAAAAATCCCATTTCCTTGGCTTGATCTTTCGGAGATGTATTTTTATACAACGAACAGGAGCAGTTTTATTCACAGTTTCACTTGATTACAAAGCAGCTGTGTTACCTAACTCTGTCAAATGTAGTTAACAGCTACACAGAGCCCCTGAGTGTGCTGGGTGCCTTGAGAAATGTGCATAATAGAGCATGAGATCTTAGGAAAAGACATTTCCTGTTCCCGGGGAGATGACGTTGGGGGCTGGGAGCAAGCCCTCCCCACGCGCCGAGGGCGGGATCACCCCTGCGCCATTGGGTGGTCCTTGGCCACAGCATCCTTAGGCCTGTGGCGTTTGTACGGAGCCCCCGGTCGTCTCACGGACTATTGACCCGTACACCACTAATCCGCTGCCCCCAACCAGGTCCTCCCTGGTAAAATCACTTCAGTCTCAGTCAGCTTCTCAATTAATAAAGAAGAGTGTATTTTATTTCAGACACAAACAAACTTTTACTGCATTCCAAACGTTGTTGCTCTTTACTTTCTTAGTCTTATTTTCCTCTCTCTATCTCTTCTACCTCCCCACACTCAAGAACCCACAGCCCTAAGTGTCTCTCTATTACCAACTGCCTTTCCCAACCAGCCAACCCACTAAAACCAACCAACTACCCACCAACAACTCCCAACGAACTCCTCCCAGAACTGGTTTTATACTCCCACTGACTCCACCCCCTGGGTCCTGACTGTGCAACCTGTTTAACTATTTCCCCTCCAGCACTCTTTCATATATGTTAACATCACAAGGCCGTCCAATCCAGGAGTGGATCCAGGGGTGTGGTGCAGGCTATCCGTGGCCGAGGACTTGCCTCAGGGTTTTTCTCCCTGCTCGGTCAGTTCTCCCACCCTCCCTCCCTTAGGTTAGGCTCTTCTATTTCTTGACTTTGCTATGGACCTCAGTTGGTCGCCTTGGTTGTCCAAGGGGCCTGGTAGGAATTTTTTCACTTGGCAAATTGGCACCGGGCATTTGGATTTTTCGCCTACCTTGTAGCAAATCGTTACAACTTTGTAAGGTTTAGTGTTTAGGTGCCAGAGTATTAGGCTGAAGGTGAGGGGAGGTCGTGGCCATCACCTACCCCTCCTAATTTAAGGGTATTCCGTTAAAGGAATCCAGTGGGCATGGTCTCCGTCCAAAGCCCCAGACAGGGGGCTGGGGCCATGACATGGCCAGGGTCACTACCCTGGGGGAGTTTCTATTTGATGTGCATCAGCAGGGCTCCCCCTACTGGTGGTTAACTCTTCCAAGACTCCTACAGACGGGCAGGAGTCAGATATAGTCAGGTGGTTTCCAATGCCTAAGCCAATACCACTCACATTCTGTAACCAATACAATTGTGGCCTTTTTTGCCCATTAACCTAAAATACTGTTTCATGTGTCTTTATTCCAATTCCTGGGAGGGTTTGGGACCTTGCCACGCAACTCCTTCACAATGAGTAACACGATTGATCTATGTAGCCCAAGTGTCAATTTTTCTAGCAAGATACGACATGCCACCATCCATACCACCAGTACTAGGACTATTTAAAGTGTTGTTGTAGCATTGATCGGAGGACAAGAATGTAGCATCGTTAGTGTTCATGTTGCATTACAGAAATAGCATAAACAAAATATGGGTCCCTGACTTGCAGGTCTCATCATGTAAAATAAGGATAGGTTTAATCTTAAATGAAGGGGGGGGGGAAACCACCCAGTAATTAGTCAGAGCATCTCTAACTGATTTCTATATTGCCCAAAGATTAAAAAAAACAACCCTCAACTCTAGTTACTAGCTCTGTACATATTTTTAAAGGAAAGAATAAAAAGGATATATGTTGTATCATAATTATACATTGTGATTTTTTTCTTCTTCATTTTTTCATGCAATGTAGATACCAGTTCTCTTATTTAAGGCACTATCTCAACCACCTTCTTTGTGGTTCAGGCCATATTGAGATATTGATATATTGATATTGATTATGCAGGCAGGAAAGTGAGGTTGAAGATGGCTTTTCCAAGATACCCAATGGCACTCCAGCTCAAGCTGAATGAGACGTGAGCCAGGATGCTTCGTGCCTTTAACCCTGAAACACTTTATCCACTATAATTAATATGTTATATGTTAACACTATAAAAGTGTGCTCTGTTGTGAAATCGGAAAATACGAGGTAAAGGGCATTACTTTTATATAATCTGCACCTTTTTTATCAGCTGCCTCTTTATTTTGTATATTGCGCCTTTAGTTCCTCTAATTTAATTTGTAATTTAATTTGTATTTCAAGAAAATATGTCCTCTTTTCACCTTTCAGAATAAGACACAAGGACTGAGTTTTGTCCGGATACATGCACCATGGAATGTACTTAGCCGAGAAGCAGAGTTTCTTAAAATTAAAATGCCCACTAAAAGGGTAAGTAGTACGCAGTTCTGTTTTAATTATTTTGAAACTTGCAGAACCATTACAGAGGAAAGGCAGTGAAGGCTGGTTATTTCTAATCTCTGAGTATAGCAAGGAAGAAGCCACCCTCCCCAGTGACTACCTGTGCTTATAACATTGTTGTTGTTGTTTAGTCGTGTCCGACTCTTCGTGACCCCATGGACCAGAGCACGCCAGGCACTCCTGTCTTCCACTGCCTCCCGCAGTTTGGTCAACTCATGCTGGTAGCTTCGAGAACACTGTCCAACCATCTCGTCCTCTGTCGTCCCCTTCTCCTTGTGCCCTCCATCTTTCTCAACATCAGGGTCTTTTCCAGGGAGTCTTCTCTTCTCATGAGGTGGCCAAAGTATTGGAGCCTCAGCTTCAGGATCTGTCCTTCCAGTGAGCACTCAGGGCTGATTTCCTTCAGAATGGATTGGTTTGATCTTCTTGCAGTCCATGGGATTCTCAAGAGTCTCCTCCAGCACCATAATTCAAAAGCATCAATTCTTCGACGATCAGCCTTCTTTATGGTCCAGCTCTCACTTCCATACATCACTACTGGGAAAACCATAGCTTTATAAGGAAACTGGCATGACACACGTTTCAACATGTTAGTTGTTTAATGGAACTGTAGTGTTGGGAGGGACCTGAAGAGTCATCTAGTCCAACCCTCTGCAATGCAGGAATCACAGCTAAAGAGCCCCTGACAGATGGCCACTCAACCTCTGTTAGGAAATGTCCACCATCTGAGGTTGGGGATGCAGGTGGCGCTGTGGTGTAAACCAGTGAGCCTCTTGGGCTTGCCAATCGGAAGGTTTGAATCCCCGCGATGGAGTGAGCTCCCGTCACTCGGTCCCAGCTCCTGCCCACCTAGCAGTTTGAAAGCACGTCAAAGTGCAAGTAGATAAATAGGTACCGCTCTGGCGGGAAGGTAAACGGCATTTCCGTGCACTGCTCTGGTTTCACCAGAAGCGGCTTAGTCATGCTGGCCACATGACTCGGAAGCTGTCTGCAGACGAACACCAGCTCCCTCGGCCTATAGAGCAAGATGAGCGTGCAACCCCAGAGTCATCCGCGACTGGACCTAATGGTTGGGGTACCTTTACCTTTACCCTTACCATCTGATGTGGTTTGTTCCACCGTCAAGGAACTCTTAACCCCCAGACAGTTCCACCCAATGCTTAGTCAGAATCTCCTTTCTTGTAATCTCTTGATTTGTAGCAGCATCCATTGGTTTGAACCATGTTCCCATCAACAGTTGATACCTTGATATTTTCCTTGTTTGATTGTTAGGTTTCTTTCTTAAGAAAAATAGATCCCTTCCCATTCAAGCATTCTGTATCCTGTGCAGCAGATCAACTGAACGAATGATGGCTGAGAAGCACTATTGAATGTTTGTACATTAGTAGAGCCAAAGGCAGAGATGTAATCTTTTTGTAAACCACTTGAGGTTTTATAAAAACAGTATATAGATAGGACCAGCCCACAACATTTTGGCACCTGAGGCAAACCACAAAATGGTGCCTTGCCTCATGGGTGGGCCGGCCCTGACACAAATGTTGTGAAATGATAAAATAAAATAAATATTCTAACTAGCAGTTCAAATATTCCCAGGGTCTATTCAGACACTGCAGAAAACCACTTCAGGGGGTGACATTTTTTCTTTAAATAGGAGCTCATTTTCTGGAACCAAAACTGGTGGTGGGACAATACTCAGTAATTCTCCTTCAATATTGATGCTTCACTAACTTTTCTTGGATCTCTGGGAACACTGCTGGTGAAAAGATGCCATTCAATTATTCTAAACAAATTACCGTATTTTTCCCTCTATAACACGCAGATTTTTTCTCCTAAAAAGGAAGGGGAAATGTCTGTGCGTGTTATAGAGCGAATGTGTGGTCCCTGGAGCCGAAAAATCAGGCAAAAATCAAATCACGCTTCACGGAGAAGGGAAACCTGAAAAGAGGAAGTGGCTGCTTTCCTGCATTCTGCCTCAGGGTCTTACTGCCCACCCTTCTCTGTTTCGTTGCTGTGTTTGCTCAAACGGAACAAAGAGCAGGGAAAGCCCCTCCCCTCCAGGCAAGCAGAGGGGAAAGCAGAGTCCTTCCTTCTAATTCCTCTCTGTGCTCCGGTGCTGCGTCTAGGGACTAGCAGGCAACATGCAGGTGGGGGGGGGGGAGAGAGAGAGAGAGAGAGCTGGCTGGTTTGGGTGCTTGGGTGGGGGGAAACTTTTGCCTTTATTTCCTCCCTCCCGTTAAATCCCTCTCCTGCATTCTCTGCTGCTTCTCTGCACACCCCTCTCATGTCCCTTCTTTGTTTTTCCTTCGCTCCCCACTTAAAATGTGGTTACAAAGCATAGATCCACATGGATCCTCAGGATCTTTGCATTGGGTCAGCCCAAATTCACCATCAGATCACATAGCATGTCCATGGCTACAGCCTGCCCCCCCAAAATCACGCACCCACTGTTGCCTGGGGCTGCAATGGTGCAAAAACGTGGTTACAAAGCATGGATCCACAGGAATTCTCAGGATTTTTGCATTGGGTCACCCCAAATTCACCATCAGATCACATGTCTGTGGCCACAGCATGAAGCACAAAAATGATACATCCACTGTTTCATTCAGAATGTTTTTTCCCTTGTTTTCCTCCTCTAAAAACGATGTGCGTGTTATGGTCAGGTGCGTGTTATAGAGCGAAAAAAACGGTAATATTTGGGAAGCCACCTGCTCACGCATGCTCTTTGTTTTTCCAGACGTATGAAATAACAGAAGAAATGGGAATTGTCAACAAGTTGTCTGAAATATGGCAGAAGTTTACAAAACCTTTGCAGCCCAAAGTGCCACAGCAAAATACCACCAGAATGAAGCATTTATCTTACCCTTTCTCCAGAGAAAAACTCTATTTGTGAGTACTTAACAAGGTGCATGGTATAATTCCCTGAGAAATATAATTCATTGAGGAATGTTGTGGTGATTGAGACTGCACATAACTTCCCATCATATACAGTCTTCATGGGACTCTACTATTTAAGAAAACAGTTGAAACAGTTACATCTTTGAGTGCCCTCACCTACCATGTATGGTGTCAGGGATTTCAAACTGAGGATCGTAACATCAGAACAGGCACCTTACTTTCTGTGATGCTAGAGGAAGTTGACAGGCTCTTCCTTTTAGCTCTGCAGAAATCAGATAATGCAAATAGACGCTTACAGAATTTGATTTCTGTGAACCATGATGTGAACTGACCTAATCCTCTCTAAATTTAGTGTGCAGATCAAAGCATGCTAATGCTTCGGATTTCACACTTGTTCAAATTTTTCGTGTGTGTAAAGGTGTGTGCATACATATATTTTGTTAAGTATTGTTGTTTAAACTTGCAGATGCAATAAATCCTGTATTTTATCTTGCCTGTGTTTTTTTTTTTAAAAAAACCCAGCTAGGTTTGGAATGTATAGTGTTAAGTTGTGGGTGAACATATCAGACGAAACAGCAATTCTTCAAACAGCTCTTGTTTATTCAGAGGCCAGAATAGAACTGAACTGAGGAGCTCAGTCAGCCTGCTCCAGAACAACGTAACTGTTGCAACTTTCTAAAACTATCCAATCACTGAACGTCACTTTCGATCCTTCATTTGCATACAAACTATCCAATCACTGAATGTCACTTTTGATCCTTCATTTGCATAACTATCTACAGTATCCCCCTGCTCGCCCAGGGTGAGAACTTCAGTACATAACATATAGATTCTTAGTCCTCATATACGAATTATGATAATGAAAAATTATGATAATGAAGAAGAAATTGTGCAGTTCAGCAGGTAGAGCATGAGACTCATGCTCTCAGAGTCTGGGTTTGAGCCCCACATTGGGCCCAAAGTCCACCACTGATGAGTGTTTATCCCACAGCCATGCTGCAGAAACTAATGCAACATTTCTCTGTTCGAGCAAACATTTTGTGACCAGGAAGCAGTGGGGGATTTATTTATATTCAAATATGCATTGTATAATTTCTTTCTTAATGTTCTTGCACTGCCCTCAGACTTTGTCATAGGATAAGTTAATATCCAGGAACATTTTCCCACGTGAATTTTAAAAAATCATGGGTTCAAACTTGTAAATTACATTATTGAATAGGGTTCCCTTCTTTTGAAAGCAGGGAGTGCAAGGACATTGTGAGAGAAGGAAAACCCTGTGATTCTTGCCTAACTCTGCATTTGTAGAGTTAGGAATTCTAGAATTCCTGTTAAATTTGTCAAGCAGAATCATATAAGCTGGCTAACTTTTTGAAACAAAATCTGTCACCTTTTATTTATACAATCCTTTACAGGTTTCCTCAGAGGTAAGCTCCACTAAGTTTAAGGGCCTTACTCTCAGGGAAGTATGCATAGGACTGGCCTTCTTTTGCTCTTCTGGGAATTGCTTAAGGCACATTTTAACTGATCTTGTCTATCACTGTTTCTCTAGGTACAACATTCAAGATAAAGACACGTTTTTTGACAATGCTACCCGCAGTCGAATAGTAAGTCAGCTGAGGGGGTGTGAAGCATGAGGGAACCCCCCCCCCGTGCTTAATTGCATTCACTGTTATTGCTGATAATTACATATTTTTTTAAAAATTATATAAATAATCATGGCTCTCTACAAGTGGGGGAGGGAGTTATTGGTTTGTGGGGTTTTTGGTCCTTGTTTTTATCATGTATTTTGTGCCTTTATCTTGTATTTTTACGTTGTGAACCACTTGAGATCTGCGAAGGAAGGGTGGTATTCAAATTTTATCATCATCATCATCATGGGTCCCTGGTTGAGTGGTGATTTATAGTCACTGAATAAGGCAGAGGCTACAAACACTAATTATTTCCTCTCTTTTTTATGGGGAAATGCAGGGTTATGCGTACTCCTAAACATTTTGGGAATCTTTCTATTTTTGTCCATTTACTGTATTTATTTTCCCCGATTTGAACTATAAAATGGTGATTTTCTTGAGTCAAAATGAGAGTACTCCCTAAACATTTTTATTTTTTTTAGAAAAAAGCACTGCTTATTTCCATTATTTTTCGTTGGGGGTGTATCTTCTTTAATTTTTATATACTGTACATTGTTTGAATCTTATCAAACCTTTTATGGGGGAAGCCATGACTGTTAAAGAGGAGATGGGTTCAAATATAGCCTTCTCTCTGATATGATAGTTTGCTATATACACGGGCTGTTATTGTTCTTACTGTATATAGGAGCTTCCTGTTGCTTGAGCCTTCACCTGCAGTTTGACGTAGCACAGGACTATGAAATACTGGATGAAGAAAGCTATTTTATTTAAATATAGTTTTTAAAAATATGGTATGGTGAATATCATCTTTATGTCTTACTGGCTTCATGCAGAACATCTATTTCTTGGAAAGAAGCTATCTGTTAGTTACACCATGTTTGTGTGTTTTGATGCAGGTACATGAAATTTTGAAGCGTACATATACTACAAAAGCCAAAAACAGCATGGGTAAGAAATAATTCGCTTTTTAAAAAATGTTATTTCGGAAGCTGCTTTTTAATATTCTTGAATTCTTGTTCCAAATTTCTCAGATGCTTGTTAAGCTATATTCCTAGTGCATTCTGCTATGTCTTAATAGGTTAGGGCAAATCCTGGATAATCAAATAAAAAGACATGTTTCTGAATCCTGCTCTGTTGGACATCATGGAGAATAAACTATGCAAAATCGTAAAAAAATATATATAGAGACAGAATAAATTGTCTAAAACCAAAGGTTAACAATCTGCATTATTTATACAGGTTACATAATTAGTTTTTTGTTGTAAGAGAATGTAAAGGTTTTGTTAAATCACAGATTCCACACAGTCCTTTGAATTTTCCATTCAAAGAAAAGCATTTTCCTTGGGCCAGTATGAACAACACCTAACATTAGGGTGCAAACTGTTCTGGAAACATTCTGTAGCTGAGTGAATTCAGAATGAATTCCCTGCAAGAAAATAATACAGCTTGATCTTATTTTATTTTTATGGCTAATATTGAGCCTTGAGCTTTATTGGCCTTGCCTTGAATATAATTGGAAACTTCCCTTCCCCCTTCCCCCAAATTCTCTTCTGCAGCTTCTGTTAGACGGGATAATCTCTAGTTCTACAAATATTCAGTGCATATGTGGCATTGAACGTCAACACTTGATATACGATTATTTTTCAGTAGCACTCACAGTTTCATCACTTGTTGTTAGGTATTGAAGTTCTCACCCTGGGCCAGCAGGGGGATACTGTAGATAGTTATGCAAATGAAGGATCGAAAGTGACGTTCAGTGATTGGATAGTTTGTATGCAAATGAAGGATCGAAAGTGACATTCAGTGATTGGATAGTTTTAGAAAGTTGCTACAGTTACATTGTTCTGGAGCTCTATATAAGCAGGCTGACTGAGCTCCTCAGTTCAGTTCTGTTCTGGCCTTTGAATAAACAAGAGCTGTTTGAAGAATTGCTGTGTCGTCTGATATGTTCGCCCACAACTTAACACTTTTGATTGGAGTGGCAGCAATATGTGAGCAGGTGACAGCAAATCTTGGTCAAAATTGGTGAATGGAGATGCTGTAATCCGAAAGCTAACTCGGATGTGACGAAACAAACCAGCTAGATTTCAGATTCAGATGCCAAGTTTTGATTGCAGAGTTCAAATCATTTTAAATTACCATATTTTTCAGTCTATAAGATGCCCCCATGTACAAGATGCCCCCTATTTTTGGGGACTCCGAATTAAGAAAATGGGGGGAGATGGCCCCCGTGTATAAGACACCCCCAAATTTTGAACATGATTTTTTAGGGGGAAAGCCTAGTCTTGTACACGGGAAAATGCGGTACTTTTAATTTACTTGTAAAATGTAGATCCCACCCTGAAGCATAATATTTCCACTAATCACATTTTAACATTACATTCATAAACTGAATAATAATAATAATAATAATAATATATTATTATTATTATTATTATTATTATTATTATTATTATTATTATTTGTCTCCCCAGCCACTCTGGGCGGCTTCTACAAAGACAAAAAATACACTAAGATGTCACACATTAAAAACTTCCCTGAATACACATTGATTTAAGGTGGCATTGGGGGAAGAGAAGGGAGGAGGTCCATTGTGCTAGTGGTATTGCATTCTTTGGCCAAAAAGCAAATATATACAGTGGTGCCTCGCAAGACGAAATTAATTCATTCCGCGAGTTTTGTCGCCTTGCGATTTTTTTCGTCTTGCGAAGCACAGTGTCAGAAAAGTTTCGGAAAAGCTTCAAAAATCACCAAAGTCTTCAAAAACCTCAAAAACGGCTACCACACTGCGTGCTATGAGTTGCTCCTCGAAGTCAAGTCGCAACTGTATTAACGGTTTAAGAAACAGGAAACAAACTTGCAAGACGTTTCCGTCTTGCGAAGCAAGCCCATAGGGAAAATTGTCTTGCGAAGCAGCTCAAAAAACAAAAAACCCTTTCGTCTTGCGAGTTTTCCATCTTGTGAGGCATTCGTCTTGCGAGGTACCACTGTATGTGTGTTTAAAAATAACTATTGCTGTCTTTATTTTTCTTTAGGTATTAACACATTAATAGCAAACAATGTTTATGAAGCAGCCTTTCCCCTCCATGATGTAGGTATACGCTTTCTTGTCAATTTCCTAAGAACCTTGTTAAAAGTGAAAGAATGCTTAATTGATGCTACATATGAGATTCCGCTGGAGGGCAAACTTCCTGTTAAGAAGCAGTATCCTTCAAATAAATAAGGGATATTCGGTGTTACGTTGGAGGGGATGCCAGGAAACAGGGAATTATGTTCACATGTGGTGGGGGTGTAAATATGTACAATTTTTTGGGCAAAGGGTGTTTAAGGAGATAACAGAAATCACTGGGTTAAAGCTGGCCAAAAGTCCAGAGGTAGCATTATTATCAATTTACAATGGGGTAGAAGGTTCGCAGACTATGACGGACTTGCTTACGAATTTATTGACAGCCGCACGAATCATTACAGCTAGGAAGTGGAAGGGGCAAGCACAATATAAAATGGGAGAATGGTACAAAGAGGTTTGGGATATAGCTATTAATGATAAATTAACATGTGCCATTAAGGTAAGATGGGGAATATGTAGGAGAAATGATTATGAAGAGATATGGAGGGTGTTTGTAGAATTTGTACTGTTAAAATGGAAAGGGGTTAAACCAGCACAAGAAGTGTTGGAATTTTGGGAGGTTGGATAGTTATAATGGAATGGTTTCAGTGGTGGGGTGCACATTTTTGTGCTTATTTATGTATGATTAATTATTAATTTAATAATAATAATAATAATAATAATAATAATAATAATAATGCAGTATCCTAGTTTTAGGCTTATACATATGGACTCCTTCACACAAAAAAGTTCTCGTGGGATTTCTTGTTGGTCCATTGGTTTCAGTGGGCCAACTCCAAACATGATTTAGTTGATGACCACCCCTGGTCTTCAACATTGAATTGCATTCTAGCCGGCAGGGGAGGTCAATATTATATTTATCACCATCACCATCCTGCTTTAGTTGAGATTCCTGCATTTCAGGGGGTTGGACTACATGACTCTTGGGTCCTTCCAAGGCTATGATGCTATGATTATATATAGCAAGGGTGGGGAAACTATGGTCCTTCAGCTGTTGTTGGAATCCAGGTCCTGGCATGGGCAGGGGTGATGGTGGATGGTAGATGCAATGTCTGGAGGACCCCAGGTGTCCCACTGTTGGTAGTGGTTAAGAGCAGTGGACTCGCAATCTGGTGAATCGGGTTTGATTCCCCGCTCCTCCACATGCAGCTGCTGGGTGACCTTGGGCCAGTCACACTTCTCTGAAGTCTCTCAGCCTCACTCACCTCACAGAGTGTTTGTTGTGGGGGAGGAAGGGAAAGGAGACTGCTAGCCGCTTTGGAGACTCCTTCGGGTAGTGATAAAGCGGGATATCAAATCCAAGCTCCTCCTCCTCCTCCTCCTCCTCCTCCTCCTCTTCTTCTTCTTCTTCTTCTTCTTCTTCACTAGACAGGCTCAGTGAGTTTTCAGTTTAAGGCATGGTAGTGGGGTAGAGAATAGTTTACAGAGATGGTCAGGAGTAAAAGGAATTTAAGAAGTACAATGGTACCTCGTGTTTACAAACACCTCAGGTTATAAACACTTCGGGTTACACACTCCGCTAACCCAGAAGTAGTACCTCGGGTTAAGAACGTTACCTCAGGATGAGAACAGAAATCGCCCAGCGGTGGCAGCGGGAGACCCCATTAGCTAAAGTGGTACCTCAGGTTAAGAACAGTTTCAGGTTAAGAACGGACCTCCAGAATGAATAAAGTTTGTAACCAGAGGTACCACGGTACTTTGATTGACTAGTTTCTAAAACCTCTAGGGGTTTCCTCTGAATGACAGGGAAGGCATTGATGTGGATTGTATTGACCATGTTTGGCTTAAAGCACCTTAATACTAAAAATTGTTGTTGTTGCTTCTGCTGCTGTTCTTGCTACCTGCCCTTCGCTAGCAGGTGACTCCTGCTCCCTACAATATTTCTTACCAACAGCATTGTCTTTTCAGGGTGAATATGACGGTGAAAACAAAGAAATGAATGAAAGAAAGGTAAAATAATTTACATCTTCAGTTTGGTTGGCGTTGGGTTTGAATGTGTCGATCTGTTCCCTGCAATCAAGCCTTTGTGCTGAAAATATACTGCAAACTGGGCCACAGTCCAGTCTGAAGCTTTCCTGCTCTGTCACAGCTCCTGTTAATTTCAGTAGTGTTTGCACAGAGAAATTTTCCATTGGATTGTATCCATATTTGTTGCCCGCCACCCCAGTCTTCAAGTGGTGCAGGATTCCAGGGGTTCCAGGCACTTACCCAGGGTTCAGTGTCCTTGAAACAAGATACAGCCGAGATTGTGGCAGAAATTTTAGGATATGTGGCTTATTTACACACATATTCAACCTGAGCCTACAATGGAGGTGCTCACAGCATTAACACCCCAAGAGGGTCTCCCATTTGTTGTTGTTGTTTAGTCGTTTAGTCGTGTCCGACTCTTTGTGACCCCATGCACCAGAGCACGCCAGGCACTCCTGTCTTCCACTGCCTCCCGCAGTTTGGTCAAACTCATGCTGGTAGCTTCGAGAACCATCGCGTCCTCTGTCATCCCCTTCTCCTTGTGCCCTCCATCTTTCCTAACATCAGGATCTTTTCCAGGGAGTCTTCTCTTCTCATGAGGTGGCCAAAGTGTTGGAGCCTCAGCTTCAGGATCTGTCCTTCCAGTGAGCACTCAGGGCTGATTTCCTTCAGAATGGATCTGTTTGATCTTCTTGCAGTCCATGGGACTCTCAAGAGTCTCCTCCAGCACCATAATTCAAAAGCATCAATTCTTCGGCAATCAGCCTTCTTTATGGTCCAGCTTTCACTTCCATACATCACTACTGGGAAAACCATAGCTTTAACTATACGGACCTTCTCCCATAGTCACAGCCTAGTATTCCTGCAGAAATCAAGCATGGCTCTCCCTCTCTGGCTTCTGCCTACTTCTAGCCCAGCTCACACACATTCCACGCTTGCTTTTGTCTTCCTTACTACCAGCCATGTGAGGGAGGGGGGCCTTCTTCCACAGAGCATCTTCCATTCTTATACTAGCCGTATTTAGGGCCTTTAACTCAGCAAGAAACTTACCTGGCTAATTCAACAACGGAATCCTCCAGGACCCAAAGAATTACAGGGAACACAGGCATCATGCAGGGTGAAGCCCCCAAACTCACAACAATATTGTGTTGCTAAGACCTCTGTGTTATTCTTCCGCCAGGTGTCTTCAGTATAACTGTTTGCAGAAATGGTCAAATAGATATAATTTATGAAAGTTGCCTGTAAAAAAAAGAATCTGTCATAGCTAGATTTCAGCATTATATCCCATGCTAATAAAGAAACAAAAGCAGAACTACAGTGGTGCCTGGCAAGACGAAATTAATTCGTTCCGCGAGTTTTATTGTCTTGCGAAGTTTTCGTCTTGCGAAGCACGGTGTCGGGAAAGTTTCGGAAAAGCTTCAAAAATCACCAAAGTCTTCAAAAACCTCAAAAAAGGCTACCACACCGCGTGCTATGAGTTGCTCCTCGAAGTCAAGTCGCAACTGTATTAACGGTGTTAAGAAAAAGGAAACAAACTTGCAAGACGTTTCCGTCTTGTGAAGCAAGCCCATAGGGAAAATCGTCTTGCGAAGCAGCTCAAAAAACAAAAAACCCTTTCGTCTTGCGGGTTTTTTTGTCTTGCGAGGCATTCGTCTTGCGAGGTACCACTGTACTAGTTTGATACTTGGAGAGGAAAGGGAGTGATGCATTGATTTCAGAAGAAAGAAGAAGGGGGGTTATTGGTCATTTATATGATGCTTCTCTGACTGAGCCCAGGCCATTTAGAGAAGGTGAAGTATTTGAAACAGTCTGGACTATGCCCCCAGTGCAGAAAATTGCTACTGAAAATTCCCTTAGTTGTTTACAGCACTTTGGGGGGAAGATAGCAGGGGAAGGGAGTTCAAGATGAAGCTGCCATAGTTTTAATATTTACTGGTATTTGTTTTTTAATGACCCCCCCAATGTTTTTACCTGTACTTATTTTATATGTAAGCTGTCTTGAACCCCTGTCAGGGGGAAAAGGCAGGGTATAAATGAAAATATAATAATAGGGCCCCTTATCCAGATTGGGAGCACATTCCAGATCAGAGTCCCACATATGCCCCCCCCTTAAAACCACATTAAGTACCTAAAAAAATGACCTAATTTATACTTTGGCTCTCATTTTCCTCAGCTAAATGATTTAACATTTCCTAATATAGGAGATGGCCAATAATTTTGGATGGTCTTCTTTTAGTCTATAACATCTTCCTTGAAATGGGATGGCCGGTCCCACACCTGCATATGTATTTTCTAAATGTGGCCACAAGCAGTGCTTTTTTCTGGGGGGGAGGTGTGTAACGCATACCCCTTAATGTTTTGTGAATCTTTGTACTTTTGTCCATTTACTGTATTTTTCCCAATCTGAACCACAAAATGTTGGTTTTCTTGAGTCAAAATGAGAGCACCCCTAAACATTTTTTTAGGGGGGGGGAAGCACTGGCCACAACTATAGGTTGATATAGCAACATTAGCATGCTCACTGCCATCTCCTTTCCTAATAATTCCTAGCGGTCCATTTGCTTTTTTTCACTCGGGTGAAAATGCTCCACATTTCTTCAGATTGAACTTCCTCAGCAAAAGAAGCTAGGTTAGTCAGGCCGCTGGTGCATGTTTTAGCGGCCTTTCTGAAGTCTCAGAGCTCTTGCTTAGCATTGCACCATACCATGCTATGAGTCTTCCCCTTCTTAGCCTTGCTTTCCATCCTGTCTCTATTGGACTGGCGAAAGATTGCCAGTTTTCCTTGAATACTGCAAGTGCTAAATGTGCCAATGCACAGGAAAGTTTCCTGGTGGGATTGCCCTCCCCCACAAAGGAGAGTTTGGCAACACAGCATCTGGCCACTAAGGGGTGCTGAAAATCCACAAATGGATAACACGTTGTCAGAGATGCAGAAGTCATCAGTAAATGGAGGTGCATAAAGCCTGGATAAATGGAGCGTCATTTTTATCTGTATCCGCCCACAAGGAGAGGTAGCTGAAACTTTCTTCTGGAGGGCAAAATGCTGACATAGCAGCTAATCTTGCAAGGACTCACTGGATATCACAGCAAAAAAGTGGAAACGCTACTTTAAAAAGACTTAGTGCCTGGAAAAATATTCACCCCAGAAGTTGGGCTGCCCTTCTCCTTAACCTGCCCATTTAGGTCCTCTTATGAAGTGTTAAGTATTAAAAACATAAAAGGTTCTTTCCAGAAATACTGCATTGATTGCTCGCACATGTTCCTATGGCCCAGCCATAAGACTTGACTATAGAATTTCTACGTATAACATCATCTGTTTTCTATCTGAACCTGAATAGTTTCAGTGTTTAATTTCCTGAAATGCCCTGATCAGGTTTAAAGTGAAGGGAGACATTTTTAAAAAACGGTTTTCAGCCCTTTTGATGGTGTTTCCTTTAAGGTACATAATGCAGCTTCCATTTCCTTGCAGTGTGTGGCCCTCAGACAAAGGTAGTCTGACACTAACTGGGTTTTATTTTCTTGTAAGCAAGCCCCCTTGATTAAGATTTATGTACCAACTCATAATTTTGAATTCTGGTGCTGGAGGAGACTCTCAAGAGTCCCATGGACCGCAAGAAGATCAAACCGATAATAAGATGTAAAAGTAGTCCTCCTTCAACTGTATTCTGTGTGAAGAGCAAGCTGGTTTTAGAAATTTCTATTCCTCCAAGGATCATTGCTATGGTTTGTTCCACCTTATTGGGAAAACTGACTCCTTGGAATTAATGGTAATAACATTGGCTTTTTTAAAAAAAAGCAGAGACACCACCTTGCCAACAAAGGTCCGTATAGTTAAAGCTATGGTTTTCCCAGTAGTGATGTATGGAAGTGAGAGCTGGACCATCAAGAAGGCTGATCGCCGAAGAATGGATGCTTTTGAATTATGGTGCTGGAGGAGACTCTTGAGAGTCCCATGGACTGCAAGAAGATCAAACCTATCCATTCTGAAGGAAATCAGCCCTGAGTGCTCACTGGAAGGACAGATCCTGAAGCTGAGGCTCCAATACTTTGGCCACCTCATGAGAAGAGAAGACTCCCTGGAAAAGACCCTGATGTTGGGAAAGATGGAGGGCACAAGGAGAAGGGGACGACAGAGGACGAGATGGTTGGATAGTGCTCTCGAAGCTACCAGTATGAGTTTGACCGAACTGCGGGAGGCAGTGGAAGACAGGAGTGCCTGGCGTGCTCTGGTCCATGGGGTCACGAAGAGTCAGACACGACTAAACGACTAAACCAACTCATAAAGCAAAGGCCAGTCCTAATCAACCACCTTCAGGTTCTTCTTGTGGGGGAAAACAAATGATGCGAATGTTCATAGAATTGTAGAGTTGGAATGGACCCCGTGGGTTATCTAGTCCTACTCCCTAAAATGCATTCATGACAGATGGTCCTCAAACTCTGTTTGAAAACTTCCAGTGATACAGAATCCACCACCTTTCCACTGTCAAAGAGCTCTTGCTGTCAACAAGTTCTTCCTGGTGTTTAGTCTCCTTTCTTGCAATTTGAATCCGTTTGTTCAGGTCCTACGCTCTGTGTGAAATAACACTCAGAATTCAGGAAAACCAGTGATTTTATGAAACTTTGGTTCAGCCTCAATGGGGATATTTCCTGAAAAATACTTTAATAGTGAGAACATTCTTATTTAATCCGTCTTGGTGCTCTTGCTCTCACTAACACGGGTTCAGATTTCTTGTTTTCTCCAGATGCCAGCAAACTAGTGAGTGTGATGGATCACAATGATGCATGGCCAGTTAGATTTATCTGGGTGATGATGTGCCTGAGGACAACAATTCCCATATTAGCTGGCTGGGTGATCTCAAAAAATATGGAATCCCATCAATGAATGCAATTCAGTTTTGGCTACATGATTACACCATGGATAGCTAAGGAAGCCAGTTGAAAAAGAGATCGAGAGGGGAAAATATAATTGAATCAACAAAACATTTTCACAGTCACTGCCAAAATAATGACAAAAGAGGCAAGCACTTTTCAACATTGCAATAATATCCCTTAAAAAGAAGAGGTAGTGAGTCATTTTGTCTCAACAATTCTCATAATAAATATACTTTAGAAAAGCTGCAACTCAAATATTTTCAGCAACATTTCCCATCTTGATAGGCGGCTTTGCAGACAGCCCCAAAAGAAACTGTTTATTACACTGGTCAACAACAAATCTGTTGTCTGCGTTTTTTCAGTTGATTTAGGACGAATCTGATGCGCTGAATCCAAAAATCACATTGGTTTTGCTCAATCAGGTCAAGTTTTTGAGCTATGGCCACATGTCTTTTTTTACGTTTTTGTTCACATGTACGCTTGTGTGGAGCATTTTAGAAGAAGTTGGTGGGGGTAAAATGCCATGTCGAATAATTGTTTTGATTGGAAATGATTATTTTAATGACAGGAAGTATTCAGGTCCGATAGTTCTGGGTGATTATGTCGAAAAGGGATCAGTTTGAAGTCATAAAACCTCAAATCTTCCATAAATTGGTGCGGCAAAGCATAAAGTTGCTTACCATGCTTATTTTGGTATTAAACTTGGTGACCAGGATAAAGCTTGGGCGCCACACATGGTGTGCAAGGCATGCACCGAGACTACGTGGGTGGACCAATGGCAAGAGGAGTCTGAACTATGGAATTCCCATGGTTTGGAGGGAACCGACAAACCATGTCACTGACTGCTACTTCTGCGCTGTTGATGTGACTGGGATCAACAGAAAGAACCGGAGCAGCCTCAAGTATCCTGATCTTCAATCAGCACGTCATCCTGTAGCTCATTGTGATGAAATTCCAGTGCCTATCTTCGGAGAACTTCCTGACATTAGTGACGAAGATGCCTCCAGTGTTGAAGGACATGAAGAAGAAGAAGTGGTTCTTGAAGATGATACTCCACATCCATTTTCCCAAAAGGAGTTGAATGATCTAGTTCGTGACCTCAGCTTGTCAAAGGACTCTGCCAAACTGTTGGCATCCAGATTGAAGGAAAAAAACCTCCTCTCTGACAGTGCTCGCATCAGCTTCTTCCGCAACAGACATCAAGAGTACCTCCGTTTTTTCTCGGAAGAGAAGGACTTGGTGTACTGTGCAGATATTGCGCAGCTTCTGCTCAAGCTTGGAGTGCCACAGTACGAACCCAAAGATTGGAGACTGTTCATTGACAGCAGCAAGCGATCACTGAAATGTGTTCTGCTACACAACGGCAACCAGTTTGCCTCTATAACCCTGGCTCACTCGAGTACACTGAAGGAGAACTATGAAGCGGTGAAGTATGTGCTGGAGAAAATTGGTTATGATCAGCATAAGTGGTTTATTTGTGTTGACCTGAAGATGGTGAACTTTTTGTTGGGACAACAGTCTGGCTTCACCAAGTACCCATGTTTTCTGTGCATGTGGGATAGTAGGGATTGTGCTCAGCATTACACGAAGAAGGACTGGCCTGTGCGGGAGGAATTGGTGCCTTGCAGAGAAAGAAACGTCATCAACGACCCTCTGGTGGACAGAGACAGAATACTCTTCCCACCGCTGCACATCAAGCTCAGCTTAATCAAGCAGTTCACCAAGGCTCTGGACAAGGATGGTGACTGCTTCACTTAATTGTGCCAGGCTTTTCCAGGATTGACCATGGAGAAGTTGAAAGCTGGCATCTTTGACGGTCCTCAGATCCATCAGCTCATCAGAGATCCAGAGTTCGGAAACTCAATGAACGAAGTGGAACTGGAAGCGTGGAAGGCATTTGTTCTGGTAGTGAAGAACTTTCTTGGCAACAATAAGGCCAGAAGCTACGCAGAACTTGTCAACAACATGCTGACTGCTTTCAGAAACCTGGGCTGCAACATGAGCGTCAAGACACACTACCTATTTTCACATATGGACTGGTTTCCTGATAACCTGGGTTCAATGAGTGACGAGCAGGGGGAGAGATTCCATCAGGACATGAAAGAGATGGAGACCAGGTATCAGGGTCGCTGGGACGCAGTCATGATGGCTGACTACTGTTGGACTCTGAAGAGAGACCTCCCTGCCGCTGAGCATTCCAGGAGTTCCAAGAAATGGAAGTTCAAGCCCTGAAGTTTGAAAAATGGTGAAGCAACATGCAATTTACGTGTACTTACCTTTATCAATGCCCACCATTCAGTTTACAGTAATCGATGTTTCTATCAGGTAATCAATATATGTTGTTGGGAAAACATTTTTTTCTATTAAAAACATATTTAGGATGATATGTTTTGACAAAAATCAGCTGATAATGCCGCAAAATGTAATTGATTTTGTCACAAGATCTGATTTTTTTCAAATCAACATAGCACAAAAACCTGACCTGATGGAGAGAAACGGATGCCATTTCCTGATTCAGCAGTGCAAAAATACCCTAAAGCAGTTGTAGAAATCTAGACAACATTCAAAAAGTAAAAAATTGTTGCCCAGTGTTATTTGTTTTAATATATACTAGAAATACATAATTATCTCACAATATATTATCATTCTTAGAAGTCAATAATGAACCTTACTCATTGCAGTATGCAAAATAGTGGGCATTTGATTTGCTTTTCAGTGCAATTCTATCCATGTTTGCTCTGATGTAAGTTCCCCTGGTAATCATGTTTAAGATTGGACAAGGTTGCATCTTACTAAGTTATACTTAGAGTAAACTCATTGAAATCCCTGCCTTGTTCATTGATTCTAGTGGATCATCTCTGCATATGACTTAGCTGGATATATCCCTTAGCCTGTACATAGTAGTTTTAAAGACGATATCCTGGAAAGGTCATTGAGGAGTAATGATGTGTGAGGAACACTTGCCAGGAAACTGGAACACACATGGTACATAGGGGTGCAGTGTTCATTCAGAACTTCCACTGACACCTTGTCTGAATTTACTGTAAACTCTATTCAGTTATAGTTGTGTCCAGGACATACAGCCCAATTTGATAATGTTTATTTGGAATGCAAGCCCCACTGCTTTCAGTTGGGTAAAAAAAAGGTAAAGGTAAAGGACCCCTGACAGTTAAGTCCAGTCGCGAATGACTCTGGGGTTGTGGCGCTCATCTCGCTTTACTGGCCGAGGGAGCTAGCATTTGTCCACAGACAGTTTTTCCAGGTCATGTGGCCAACAGGACTAAGCCGCTTCTGATGAAACCAGAGCAGCGCATGGAAACACCATTTACCTTCCCGCCAGAGCAGTACCTATTTATCTACTTGCACTTTGACGTGTTTTTGAACTGCTAGGTTGGCAGGAGCTGGGACCGAACAACAGGAGCTCACCCCATCGTGGGGATTAGAACCGCCGACCTTCCGATCGACAAGCCCTAGGCTCAGTGGTTTAGACCACAGCGCCACCTGCATAAACTACTAGATTAATGCACATTATTTATCTAGATTGTATTGTGTAGACTTGGAATTATTTTAAGCACACTAAGTGGTAATAAACCCCATTGCAAGACAGGTGCTATAGGCCACCCCAACCCCTGTCAAGGGCAAGGGCAAATAACCAGAACACCACACGTTGAAACAGACCAGAACTTTATTGACTGTAGAAAAGTACAGTGGTGCCTCGCAAGACGAAAAGAATCCGTTCCGCGATTCTCTTCGTCTAGCGGTTTTTTCGTCTTGCGAAGCAACCCCATTAGCAGCCAAGCGGATTAGCGCTATTAGCGGTTTAGCGGCTTAGCGGCTATTAAAGGCTTAGCGGCTTAGCTGCTAAAAGGCTATTAGCGGCTTAGCGGCTTAGGAAAAGGGGGGGAGCGAAAAAAAATGGCGAGACTCGCAAGACATTTTCGTCTTGCGAAGCAAGCCCATAGGGAAATTCGTCTTGCGAAGCGCATCGCAAACGGAAAACCCTTTCGTCTAGCGGGTTTTCCGTCTTGCGAGGCATTCGTCTTGCGGGGCACCACTGTAAGCCAACAGTCTGATCATGGGTATGTGATGAAGAGGGTGAATCAGTGTAAAAGAAATTTCCTCCCCATTTCAGTGATGGAAACCTTACTGTCAGCTGACTAGCTTTGTTTGATACAACCCTCAGTGGTTAATTTTGAAAGAGGGGTGTTGGGCCTTCTTCATCCATGTAGCAAGCATCTTCTTCCTCAGATACTCTGCATTTTAATCCAGCTGTTCATATATGTGCTACATGATACACTTTTTGTTATTATTTTGCATGTTCTGGAGCATGTTCAGGTTTCAAACTTGAGCTCACATCTCATGGTACTCAGTCATTGCTCCATTTAAGCCCCAAAACTTTATTTTTTTTTTTTTTGTCATTTAAATGCAGTATGTCAACAGTATATCTATTTTCCCCACACAGCTGCTGTATCAAGAATGGGCACGATATGGATCGTTTTACAAGTTTCAGCCTATTGATCTTGTAAGGTAATTAATTGCGCAGCAACAGCTTCTTGGCAAAATTGTAAAGTTCCTTCTTTGGCAAAACTGGCAAAGTTGCACTGATTTGCACTAGGGGAAGATTCTGGTCAGCGGGGCCTGGCATCGAGAGGTGGGCAGTTAGCTTCTCCCTTTCCATCATACTAAATCACAGGTTTTATTGCAGAAGATTTAATGAAAGATAATATTAATGAAAGGTGATGTACCTTTCCAAAATGGCATTTAGTAGTGTTCGAAGGTTCTGAGCTAGATTCAGAGAGGCAAAGTCATTGAGAGGCTTTTGCATATCCGTCAAATGAATTTCCTCTTTCTGTTTAGGAATTTCCTCTTTCTGTTTAGGAAAATATTTACCATCCGGTACATTAACTGCTCAGTTCCATACCCTCCCACATTCCTCAGATGAAAATAGGAACATTTCTCACTTCCTTGCAACTGACCCTCCTCAACCTCCCATCTTTTGTGACCCTGTTATTTCCACCACCACTATATCAATGGGACCAGCACATACGTCCTCCACTGTCCTGAGAAAACCCCTTAATCCTGATTTGATTTGATTCTTTGGTAGATTGAAAAACACACATCAATAAATAAATTTTAGAAAGTGGGAAAATTAGACTCAGGTGCACAAAGCATTTTTTAAAAAAAAAATCAAAAGCACTATGCTCCCCCTTTCTTCCTGCCCAGGAAGAAGAGCCAGTGTGGTAAAGTGGTTAAGAGCAGTGGACTCGTAATCCGGTGAACCGGGTTCGATTCCCCACTCCTCCACATGCAGCTGCTGGGTGACCTTGGGCTAGTCACACTTCTCTGAAGTCTCTCAGCCTCACCCACCTCACAAAGTGTTTGCTGTGGAGAAGGAAGGGAAAGGAGATTGTTAGCCGCTTTGAGATTCCTTAGGGTAGTGCTAAAGCGGGATATCAAATCCAAACTCTTCTTCTTCTTCAGGGCAGCCCTATCCTCTGCCTGCCCCTCAGAGCCAGCTCATCACACAAGACTGGGCCTTAGAAGCCATAGCCTCTCCTTCTCCTCACCTGCTCTCCAATAGCTGCTTGCTACGAGTTGCCCAAGAGAGGTGACCAGCAGCAGCAGCCATGGAGAGGCAACAGGATGTTCTCTCACAGCAGCCACAGCCATCATCATCATCATCATTCAAGATAAGTGCAGGCTCATCCTTCTCCTCCTCCGTGAGCTCAGCAGCAGCAACAACACTGGTGGGGGAAATAGGGACATTCCAGGATCAAATCAAAACCAGGGCTGTTGTGATTTCTGGGCTGTCCCTGGAGGGTATGCAGTTCATGTTGAACTCAGCTGCCAGTCTTGCGTAAGCCAGTTCATGGAGTGTGAGCCTTCGGCATGCAACACCATTCTTGTGGAATGCCAAATAAGCAATTGCTCTTCGTGCAACCATCGTGATGTTTAAATAGTGTGTCAAAAGAACTTCCATTAATTCAGATGTTTGGTTATATAATCTAGAGTTGCATAACCTTTTACAAAACTGTGGGCCACAGTCCCTGTGTGCAGTGAACAGGACCAAAGGCAAACGTGGAAGAGGCAGCCCCCACACCAGCCACAAGCATCCATACACCCCACCTTCATACTCATTGTAATGGGAATTGGGGTTGCTTGTGTGTAACCACCAACTGCTCCAAGCTGCTTGGGGTGGTTGCGCCTTTCTCTGGCTGAGCAGCCCTTAGGCGCGGCTGCTTCAGTCGCTGGCAGAATCCGTCAGTGGGCGTTTTCTAAACTTCTTCCAACATAAAAATTCCTTGATGCCCAGTCTCCACCTAGATTCTCTGCGCGGAAGCCTTCTGCGCAGTGTGGGCGTACTAAGCGGAGGTCCTGCACTCTCCCCGCTGATCTCACTTGAAGAGTCTCGGAGCCCTCCCTCCGAAGTGCTCTCAGCCTCCCCTTTCTTCCTGGTGTCTCCTTGATTGCCTTCCCCAGCGGAAGCTCTCTCTCTCTCCTTGCTAGTCCCCTCCCCTGCATCATTGGGGCGACCTCCCTCTCCTCTGGTCTCTGATGGCAGTTCCCTGACATCCATCCATCCCCCCTGCCCTATTCACACACAGCCCATGTTCCCCTTTCTCAGCGCTGAGAAGGGAAATGCAGGGAATAGCCAATGGAGGAAAAGAGCAATCTCTCGTTCCATCAGCAGTTCACTTCCACGCTGGAGGATCATCAGGCCTAGCTAGCAAGTTGTTGAGACTGAGAGTGTAGCCTGGAACATCATTCAGTGGTGCAACGTGCAGGGAGCAGAGCATCAGCAAACAGGTCAGTGTGGAAAGGGTTCCCTGCAAATAGGAGGTTTGAAAACCACAAAGCGGAGGCATGCATCCGTAAGGGAGCACCCAAGCGGAGTGAAGTTATGAGACAGAATTTGGATTCTTCCTCCTGTGCTCAAAAACTGCTCCTGCCAGAGCTTTTTGGTTCCCTTTTGCCAGGTGTTGCAACAGATATGACTTCTGCTTGCCATTCTGTTGTGTAACAGAGATAAGTAGCTGCACATCATATGACTCACGGTTGCGTGAATGTGGGAGATTTAGAGAGAGAGGCTGGGGTGCAAGAAACCAAATAGGCATCCCAGAGAAGTGACTCAGCAACATTTAGTATATTTTGTTTATCTTGCCCCTTTCTGTCCTAAAGGCATTTCAAATTCTTTCCAGTCTATGTCACACATCAAAATGCTGTTCCAGATAGCCCAGGCATGTAAAATGCACCCCCCACACACTTTTTATCCCTCAACTCCTTCTTTATTTACATTTGGGTTACCATTCCAGTCCATCAACCCTTTCACCACTTTGCTCAACACCTCTAGGAAACTCCCCGGCAGAGTGTGCGGTCTAACCCTCTAACCCTCCGCCCACGGTTGTCTCCAGCAATTACTATCCAATGGCATACTGCCTCCAACCTTGGATGTTAAATTTGGCTACCTTGATTTGCGTGTTCAGACCCAGAAACCTCCCCCCTAAATAAATTTACACTCGGCAGAATTTAGGTCACAACTTTATTGATTACAGAAAGTGACTGGTTGCATAGGCTCTGGTTCGACTAGCTCCCTGCCATACAGGCAGCGCTGACCCAGGGCACCAGCATAGGTCAGCCAAGGGTGAACACCTGGATAAGCAGAAAGCTGGGAACAGGCTATCTCCGCCACCCAAATGTCCCCCTGGACTCAGGCACGGGCACAACCCCCTCTCAGGGGTTGACCAAACCATCGAGTCCCTGGATTCCTTTAATGGAATACCCTTCACATAGGGATGGCGAGACCGTGCTCCCATCCCTATCACCTGAACCAGAGCCTATCCGCAACCTTACAAGTTGTGACGATTTGCTACGCGGCAGGCGAAACCCAAATGCCAACAGCCAATCAGCCAAGTGGGGAAAATTCCTGCCATGCCCCTGTCCCAACGACAGACAACAGATGGCGGCATAGCAAGGTCAATTGCAAAATGCCCTAAAAATAGGGAGCGGTGAAGGTATTCCGATGCACGAGCCGAAATAGGAAGCTCTGAGTCATGTGCATGGGCATAAACAGGTTCCTCAAACCGTTTGGACTGCGTCCCATCGGCTGGATTGCACCCAGCTTCGAGGGACCTACCAATTGTGGCTGACCAATGTACCTACCCACAACACAGGGTGTCAGTTGTCCAGGTCTCACCGCAATACGTGCCCTCTTTAAGGGAGGACCCGATTAACAGGCATTGCTAGACATCTCCACGAATTTGCCTAATCCTCTTTTAAATCCAGCTACACCGCAAGAAAGCAAATTTCCTAAATTAATTATTGGTTGTATGAAGAAGCATTTCCCTTTGGTTTTCCTGAATCTATGGCCTATCAACTTAATTAAGTGACACTGAGTTCTAATGTTATGGGTAAACAATAGCATTTCGCTCTGTATATCTTTGTAACTTTGATGCACACTGTGCTCGACTCAATTCCAACGGGTCATACATAGGAGAATTTATTGTGGATTGAGCCTTAATTAACTCTCGGTAAGTATTTATACCTTCTTAAAAAAAACCCACTTCTGACAGGACTGGGGTGTTAAAATGCCCTTTGCTCTGCAAGTAAACTCGGCGGACTGTACTTTTGAATATATATAAGTAGGATTTTGCTGCTGATCTCCTAAAGATCTTTCCATGTTCTGTACATCTTTTTTCTGTCTCTCTGGCAAATCATCTTAAATATTAATTTAAATTCTAGACAACATTGCTTGGACTCAGAAGAGGCAGGTGCCTCCAAAATACCTTGGAACTCTTGATTTAGAAACAAAACTAATTGAACTTTATGCTCTGAATGCCACCTTTTGACATCTTTGCTCTTTTCCCTTCTGAGACTTCCTCAAAGTCCAATTTTATTTGCTTTAAAAAAAACAACCAGATGTACACATTTACAGGGGAAAGAACTCATTGAGAGTACAAGGCACAGTGATCGGAATCATGCAAATGAAAGAGAATATCTAATCCTGAGCTTTAAAAAAGAAAAGGGAAAAAAGGATGTATTGGTTCTTACTGAGCTCACTCTTACAGTTTTATAAAGGTCTCTTTAGTTTTAACTTTGTGATACAGGAGGAATAGAAATAAGTGAGACCATTAATGTCTAATGCATTGCAAATGACCTGAAAATTGCTAGGGTTTAAATGTCATCCATCGTTTCTCGAGAGTAAGCATGAACTATCTAGATGATTAGCAACCAGATGCACTTGTCACTTTTTATGGCTTTATCTATGTTCTCTCTCTCCTTTCTCTCTCTCTTTCTCTGCTTCTCCGTTCATGCTCATCGCTCATTCTTTTGTCTAATGCAGATTTTAAGCCTTTATTATCTGTCTGTTCTGGTTAATCTTGTATGACTAAGTGATACGTTGACAACATAACAATGTTAACAATTATGATGCTGTGTTTAATAATACATAAACATGTCCTGTTTTTCCCCTCCTAAATATTTAAAGGAACTTGATTGTTTCAAACTTCTGTGTCTATAAATTTACTGCTCACTGAACAGCTGAATGTAACCTTTCCGGCAAACTCTCAGAGAAGATACTTGGCAATTACAAAAAATAAAAAATAAATGCCAGCAATTGTGTATTGCCAAAAGGTAATAAGCAGGGCTGGCCAACTTATTTTTGCTATCCCAGGCTACTGCATGACATGAAATACCCTTGAACTTCCCTTGATCTTATAGTAAAGCGTTCCAGCAATGGGGGCTGAAGGTGTGCTGCCCATTTACACCAGGAAAAGAGATGATAGTCTGAGAATTAAGTCGGTAGGTCACCCATGAGAGGGTAGTGCTGGTGTATTGATTTGATATCTAGATGTCTACCCTGCCTTAATCGAGACCACTCAACTATAGAACCTTTTGGGTTTGGTGCAGAGGCTAAGGAGATACTACTAGATGAGGGGGAATTCCATGGTGTAGTGTTTGTGCAGCCCAGTGCATGATGTTGTCAGGAGTTCGGCCTACACTCTAGTAGGACCCTGGCAGAGACACATGCCCGACTGGCACGTTCCCTCCCTCCTGGTCGATTGTTCGGGAGCTTCATAAGCTTTCTTCTGCCCGAACATCACAGCAACCGATGTCAACAGACACCGGCACACTTAGGGATCCGCAGAGTCTGCGCAGTTCGTGTGACAGACCTCAGCAACTCAGCATTTTGGCTAATCTACTTTATTTACATATAAACACACATGGAGCACTGCAACATGGCTCCCTCTCTCTCTAGCGTCAGACAGCAAAGAGAAAAAGAACAAACTATGCAGAAATAGACAAACTAACAGGAAGGATCTGAGACCGGCGCGACCAGAGGTTTACCGAAGACTGGACTAAATTTACTGAGTATTTGAAAAGTATTTGTGATGATCAGATTACGTTTGTAAGACTACAAGAAGTTCTGTGAGGAGTAACTTAAGAAATATTGTAAAAATGGAAAGGGAGAAATGATTTGTTAGAAAAGGTAAAGGCAATATTAAGTTAAGAATTGCAGGAGAAATAATCAAGACGGAAGGCTATCAGAGATGCTGAAGGAAGTCCAAACAAGGACATATGTATAATAATTTGTGTGGTATGTCTTAATTTTTTTTGTAAAAATAATAAAAAATATTATAAAAAGAAAAAAAGAAAAAGGCAATATTCCCACTTCATGGAACACAGTAACACAAACATCCTGTCTTCGTCACTTCTCACTCTGTGGAGTCAAAACATATACTATCATGTGAAAGACAACAATCCCATGCCTGCAATCAGGGAGCAGGAATGCTAAGATGGTAGATGAGTCCATAGCAAAAAGGAAGTTCATTTTCTTTTCATATCTTGCACATCAAAGCAGTTTTACTTATCTGTTTTACAATGGGTGGTTAACTGCCCTGTTTGTAAAATACGTTGATACTGTTGAGGAAACCCTAGAAGGACTGTTACTAATCTTTTGAAATTTACATTATGTTTTCTTTCTTTAGAAAGTATTTTGGAGAAAAAATTGGAATGTATTTTGCCTGGCTGGGCTTATACACAGAGTTTCTTATTCCATCTTCGGTAGTTGGAATCATTGTGTTCCTGTACGGATGCTTAACCATTGAAAGTGACGTTCCTAGGTAAGATTGCACATCCACAATGTGGTTTGATATCTAAGATGATGTGCTGCTCAGGTGCATTGTCGATGACTTTGTGCTGAAAGGCATCCATTTACAGAGCTGGTAAGCTGAAAAAGAATGAGGATGAGATTTTTTTACTCCTCCAGTTTCTTTTAAATGCTTGTCTGTCCTCCATTCGTTAAAAGTACATTGCCCTGCTTGCTACCATTGCAGTGTCCTGCCATACAGCATCTGCCCAGCGCCTTCCATTGGTATGTTTTTGTTGTTGTTGTTGTTTAGTCATTTAGTCATGTCCAACTCTTCGTGACCCCCTGGACCAGAGCACGCCAGGCACTTCTGTCTTCCACTGCCTCCCGCAGTTAGGTCAAACTCATGCTGGTAGCTTCGAGAACACTGTCCAACCATCTCGTCCTCTGTCATCCCCTTCTACATGTGCCCTCCATCTTTCCCAGCATCAGGGTCTTTTCCAGGGAGTCTTCTCTTCTCATGAGGTGGCCAAAATATTGGAGCCTCAGCTTCAGGATCTGTCCTTCCAGTGAGCACTCAGGGCTGATTTCCTTCAGAATGGATAGGTTTGATCTTCTTGCAATCCATGGGACTCTCAAGAGTCTCCTCCAGCACCATAATTCAAAAGCATCAATTCTTTGGTGATCAGCCTTCTTTATGGTCCAGCTCTCACTTCCATACATCACTACTGGGAAAACCATAGCTTTAACTATTTCTGTTCTGGCATTCTGAAATATATCTCCATCCTCTGCCTTCCCCCCCCCTTACTCCCCTGTCTTCATATGCCTAACCACTGAGGGCCAAACTACCAATTATCTTCAGTCATGTGTAGTGGTTTGCTTCAACATTGACTTCTCCCTCTCCACCCCAGCAAATGCAGCCATATCGGCTACAATTGATAGTAGAAGATCAGGGAGTGTGTTTGAGTGCCTTTTAACAGAGAGAATGTATACATAAGTTGGTGCAATGCCCCTTAGATTGTCAATATGAAGGTAGAATTTGTGACTCTTTATGTCACAAATAATGGGGCACGGGTGGCGCTGTGGTCTAAACCACAGAGCCTAGGGCTTGCCAATCAGAAGGTTGGCGGTTTAAATCCCCGCAACGGGGTGAGCTCCTGTTACCGTACTTGGTCCCAGCTCCTGCCAACCTATCAGTTCGAAAGCACGTCAAAATGCAAGTAGATAAATAGGTACTGCTCTGGCGGGAAGGAAACGACGTTTCCGTGCGATGCTCTGGTTTGCCAGAAGCGGCTTAGTCATGCTGGCCACATGACCCAGAAGCTGTCTGTGGACAAATGCCAGCCTATAGAGCAAGATGAGCGCCGCAACCCCAGAGTCGTCTGGACCTAATGGTCTGGGGTACCTTTATTTTATGTTCTGTGAACAATGCCTAGCTACTGAAAGCAATATGATTGTGATCACAATTATTACTATTAAATAAATATTGCAGTGATTTTGCATTCTTGGTTAAAGACAAGCAAACATATCAGAAGCTGTGCAGTTTCCCAGTTACACTATAAATGTGACTTCTGATCTGTCCATTAACTCCATATTATACATTCTGAAACTGTGCTATCATTGGGCGAGGTGTACTGAAAGTAACATTACTGTGGGTACGAAAAAGGTCTCACCTTTCCAACAAGAATGTAATTTCCTTGTCCTACAAAAATACTCTCTTATAATATCTAAAGTGGTGGAGTTTATGGCAAAACTGTATCTGTAGCACCCTCTGCTGTTTTTCTGCCATAAGAATGTGTTTTTGTATTTTAAAAGGAGGTGATGAACTTTGGCCCTCCAGGTGTGGCCAAACTAGGTATATTGAGAGTTGTCATTCAAGAGTATTTGCAAGTCCAAGGCTTCCCCACCCTGTTTTAAAAGGTTCAAGGCTAATTTTACGTTTTAAGGAGAAACCTGCTTTCATGCTCACTGTATTTCAACTGCTCATGCTGTGTCAGTCTCTTTGTATTTTGATGAGCTTCTTCTAAGTCCTGCTCAGAGAAATTGAATATCACTGGTAGATTTGTGATAGCTCAGAATGCAAAGGTCACGTTTTTCCATGGGTGCAAATGGCTTCTTGATGCAGGATGTTCTGAACAGGGAAAACCATTCAGAGAAAGGGCTGAGGATATATCTGTGAAAAGAAGCGATAGAAACTAAGTTTGAGGTGGCAAATATGATAATCGGCTGAGAGGAAGTGGAGAAACAGAGAGGGATTGGAGGCTTTGTAAAGGAACAGCATCTCTTTCTCTGGGATTAAGCTGTGCCTTCACCTATGTCTACCCTTTTATATTTGCAAATAAACTCCAACATTCTTGAAATATCAAAATGACCTCCTTCCAATGGAAACTAGGTAAGCATTCCACCTAGAACACATCACTCAGAGGCGTAAGGTGTACAGAACAGTCCTATTATGGCCAAAGTGAGTGTTCATTAGAGACCAAAGAGTGGGAAGAAATAAATGATAGACAAAGGAAAAGTGCTTAGCCCTTCCCCTGCCCGTCACTTCTTCTCCACACTACTGTGTGTTCGTCTGTTTTTCTTCCACCTGCAGCAACCACATGGATGGGAGAAATGACTGGGGAGGGGGAGGGGGAAGGGGAGGGGGAGGGCAAGGAAAATGGTGAGCAGGGGAAGTCTCAAGCCACCTTCTCCTGCGTATTTCTTGGTGCCACTAAATAGCACCCTCCTCTTAGCATTTTGTCAAGTTCCCACACCTAGAGGAGGATGCTATTTCAATTTCATTTGGCATTAAGCCCGAAAAAATGCTCCTTAGTGGTTCTTAGTGATTTTTTAAATTTTTATTGCCTTACTGGAGCCATTTTTCATTCTCTTTTTGTAATTAAATTGTATTGATTGATTCTGCAAAGAAGTGGGTAAAATCTTAATTATCTTTTGTTCCTACTGCCGTTTGTCGTCATTTTCATTTGTAAGTCACTACGGATATTTTTTTAAAATAGAAACATGGCCTGCAGATATTTCAAATAGATAAATAAGAAGGAAAACAACCAATGAATTTAAATAAATACACCCTTCTCTAGCCACCAGCTGGATGTCTGAACTTCTGCCATTCTGTTCTCACTGAATGAAAGTCTGTGACTGTTCTGTAGCAGAAAGCAACTTCCCTCACAGAGTACATGATTTCTGACCTTTTGGATTTTGCTCTTCATAGCAAGGAGATGTGCGACCAACGTAATGCCTTCACCATGTGCCCTTTGTGTGACAAGACATGTGACTACTGGAACCTTAGTAGTGCTTGTGGCACAGCACGCGCCAGCCACTTATTTGACAACCCCGCCACCGTCTTTTTCTCCGTTTTCATGGCACTTTGGGGTAAGTTTTGCTTTGAATGTTATATGCCTCAGTTAGATAGGGCAACATTCATAAGATGATGCTCAATGATGGGTTCCTTCCAGGTTTACAGAACACCACAAAATTAGTACCAATAAGGAAACAAGGGCCTGTTGGTAGGTTAAGAGGCAAACGTGTAAAGGGGTTAATTGGTGTCTTAACTGGTATGGGGAAATTATAGAATCATAGAATTGTAGACTTGATTAGATTTGTTCTTGATGCAGTCTTGGTTTGGTTTAGTGGGTTGTACCAGCAGAGGTGCAGGAACTGTTGTTAGAATCCCCCGCTCAATTAGCCCTAACAAGACAAGCATATTAACCTTGATGCCAGATAGTTCCGTTCTTAAGCAGTCTAAGCTCTGAAATTTTTTTTCATTAGTTTGGGCATTAAGGAGACAATGGTCTCAGAGGCAGCCATACAAATGTGCAAATCTTTCTCACTCTGCCCTATCAGTTCCTTTGGCTGTGGACTGAGCCTGTGGATTAGGGGTAGAGCTTGTGTTGAACTGCATGTTGTTATGATCTGCATGTGTAATACAGTGGTACCTTGGGTTACAGACACTTCAGGTTACAGACTCCGCTAACCCAGAAATAGTTCCTTGGATTAAGAACTTTGCTTCAGGATGAGAACAGAAATCACGCGGCAGCAGCAGGAGGCCCCATTAGCTAAAGTGGTGCTTCAGGTTAAGAACAGTTTCAGGTTAAGAACGGACCTCCGGAACAAATTAAGTACGTAACCAGAGGTACCACTGTATAAGAATTTTCATATACTCGTGCTGGATCAGGAGACCAGTTACCCAGCTGTTCTTGGCACTGGCGAAGGAAGAGGCGTGCAGGGGGAGCGCACCGCCTCCCGGCAGCACGATCCCGGCGGGGTGCCATTGCAGCTGCTCCCCTGCCCGTGCTGGGCACCACGCCCGTACGGGTGGCACACCACGCCCCCAGGACATGTGCCACGCCCCCGGGATGTGTGGCAACTCGCCCCCACCTGCTCTCCGCCCCCCAGTTCCGGAGCATGAAGATCTGCCACTGGTTCTTGGTTGGAGGAGATTTGCCAACCTTCTCTTTGTTGGTTATGGTCATTAATGCTCTTTAAGGATGCAAGAGTCAATGACTCTTGGGAAGGGCCAGTGGGGTTAGCCCTTAGGGTATCTTCAGTAGCTATATGGCAGCAGTCTAGGATGGTCTTTTGTAGGAGAGGCGGGGCTGTTTCTTTATTGCTCTGCTTCATCTCCTGGGCTCTAGTTAGCACCATGGTGGATTTATTGCACGTTCATAGAATTGTAGACTTGGAAGACCAACCCTCTGCAATTCAATGAAAGCATCCATGGCAGTTGGCCACCCAACCTTTGCTTAAAAACCTTCAAGGAAGAAGAGTCCACCGCCTTCCTAAGGAGTCCATTCTACTCTTGAACAGCTCCTGCTGCCAGAAGGTTCTTCCTGGAATCTCCTTTCTTCCACTTAACGGGATCCAGCTTTGCGGCTGACCCTGGTCTCCATGCATCTGTGCACAGGGATATACATGGAAGCATGGCAGCTCCCACTGAGTTCCATAAAGCAAAGTAAATCACACAGTGGGAAGGACCAGAACTGCTTCTCACACCCTGGGCCCTGGGGTCACCAGACTCAGTTAATCCCTCAGTCCCAGTGGTGTTCTGGTGGTTGCCATCCCCTCCTGGGCTCCCACTGGTGGGTGGGTGGACCCCAGGGTGGTCAGGGTTATTTATTTATTTATTCATTTATTACCCACTCTTCACCCTAAGGTCCCGGGTGAGGGAACAACAATTTAAAACACAGCATTAAAAACAGTTTTAAAAAGTACAGAAAATGCAATCAAAGAAAATAGGGGTTGGTCCTGAAAATACAGACTTTCAAGTGTCAAGCACCAGGGTGAAGAGGTGCATTTTCAGCATAATAGAGTTCCTGCATGGGCTCTATGATTTTTCCAGGGGTTTTGCAAAATAAACCACCCAGACACAACTTGTCATAGCGATACTATTTGCTAGTAGAGTGTGATAGCATAGCTATAGGCCATTTTAAAAAAATACAGTTGTTCAGTTTTTTCTATACCCACCCAAATCAGACTGGCAGAATAAATTAAGAGAGTATGTTGAATTAGCAAGAATATCAGCAAGGCTATGAGATGTTACAGACGAAAAATTTACCAGAGAGGGGGATATTTACAGAGTTTATGTAAAAGAACATTGTCAAAATATTAATCCGTCGGCAGGCCTTGATTGAGTTTCTGCAGGTAATAGGTCAACTTTATGAATTTAAAGTAATTAGAATAACGAGGAGAAAATAAAGCCAAGTGTGTAATTAAGGTATTCAGTTTGGGAATATAATGGGAGGATCGGGGGTCATTTCAAATTCAATACAAAATGATGTAGAAAACAGGTATCAATTAAGGAATGAACGTTTGTTTATTTTTATTATGTCTTTAGCACCTGTTTAATATTTTGTTATATAGCTTTAAAACCAATCAAGCATTTTTAAAAACAAAAAACAAACAAACCTTGTTATATGTGGACTAATACACAGACATTTTCAGATATTTGGGCATTGGACATGGGTAGACAGTGGAAATGATTAGGGTGGTGAAGGACTTTTCTACCTGCTGTCACCCTGGTGAGGTGGGTGCAGACCCACAACCGTGCAAGTGAATAGTCCTGGTCTCCTTTTCTCTAGTTACCAGTCCTGACATTTTAGAAAGACTCCCTTGACTGCAATAAGGCCAATAGGTTATCATTCATGATGACCGTACAGACTAATATTCAGTAATTTGAAGTTGGATTATGATAAATGCTACTCAAATTATTAATGTTAGGATTTCAAGACCGAATGAGATCTGGTGTTCTATTCAAGGTATGGGAAAATATAACCTCTGGAAAGCGTGTTATAAGTTTTCTCTCAATTATATGCAGTGTTAGAATTTTAAGGTCATGCAATGAAACTGTTTGGCAACAGGTTCAAGTCAGGCAAAAAGTAGTGCTTCATTTCATAAAAGTTCCCTGTACTGCTGATTATTCTCTACCTATTCTAGGCATCATTCTAGACTTCTTAGGCTCTGATTTGCTGCATATCTGTATTAGGAGGGTTTGAATATTCAGCATACTGGTAATCAGAATAATCAATTTTGACTCTGAAGCCCTCTTCTGATTAAAATTGGATTTTCTTTCTCAGCCACCATGTTCCTTGAAAACTGGAAGCGTTTGCAGATGAGACTAAGTTATTTCTGGGACCTAACTGGCTTGGAGGAGGAAGAAGTAAGGGTTTTTTATTATTACTTTTTTAAGTAGTCAAAATGGTTTACAATAAAAAAACATCAGGTGGAGACTTGCTATTATAAATCCGTAGGGTTTTGCTGGATATGACATTGGGACAAAAAGAGGTTTAATCTAAAGTAAAATAAAGGTAAAGGACCCCTGGACGGTTAAGTCCAGCCAAAGGCGACTATGGGGTGCAGCGCTCATCTCGCTTCAGGCCGAGGGAGCCGGCATTTGTCCACAGACAGCTTTCCAGGTCATGTGGCCAGCATGAGTAAACCACTTCTGGTGCAACGGGACACTGTTACGGAAACCAGAGCAGCGCACGGAAACACCATTTACCTTCCCGCTGCAGTGGTACCTATTTATCTACTTGCACTGGCATGCTTTCGAAACTGCTAGGTTGGCAGGAGCTGGGACAGAGCAGTGGGAGCTCACCCCATTGCGGGGATTCGAACCGCCGACCTTCTGATCAGCAAGCCCAAGCAACCACAGTGCCACCTGTGTTTACCTTACCTCAGCCTAGAATGAGATGATTGCTGTCACAGGAACAGAGAGGTATAGTAAGAGTGGATACTGGGATATATTCAGTACCAAATAAAGTTGGATTTGGTGGGAACCATCCAGCCATGCGTTTGTTTAGTAATATAATATTAATAGCAAACATGGCACTGAGATTTTAAGTTTTCTTTAAACAACTTCCGTTTCTGTTATATGCTGTTGGTGGAAAATTGTTTCATAGGAAAAAGAGATAAATCGCTCAAGCCTTTTCAGCTGAGTTTATCTTTGGACTATAGTAACTCTGTCTAGAATAATATTTGGAGGAAGCTTCCCTTTTCTGTTGCTGAGCCCAGTTATCATGCAATGAAAATCTTAACATTTTCTTGTATCCATCCCTGGTTTATCACTGGCGCTGTGGGTTAAACCACAGAGCCTAGGGCTTGCTGATCAGAAGATCGGCGGTTCGAATCCCCGTGACGGGGTGAGCTCCCGTTGCTCCGTCCCAGCTCCTGCCAACCTAGCAGTTCAAAAGCACGTCAAAGTGCAAGTAGATAAATAGGTACCACTCCGGTGGGAAGGTAAACGGTGTTTCCGTGCGCTGCTCTGGTTCGCCAGAAGCGGCTTAGTCATGCTGGCCACATGACCCGGAAGCTGTACGCTGGCTCCCTCGGCCAATAAAGCAAGATGAGCGCCACAACCCAGAGTCAGTCACGACTGGACCTAATGGTCAGGGGTCCCTTTACCTTTACCTATATTTCCTTATTCTACCTTTTCAATATGTTTTTTAAGAAGTGTTAACATGATTTGCAGCCTTCTAGATTTCAACCCCTTTTCCCTTTGTTTCTAGTAGCTACATGTCAGAATGAGAGGTGGACGATGTAGATGAATTCTAAGATTCTGCAGATGTTGAGTGGGGAGGGAGACAGTGGAAGAGTCAGAAAGTTAATAAATGATATAAATGTGAAGACTGAAAGGATAGGAAACATGGTTAGCCTTAATCACAAAATTAGAAAGATTACTGGAAAGAAGAAAAAGAAATAACTTGAGACTGACACAGTGAACTGCCATTAGGGCAACTGAGAAAATGAAGGGAATCAGAACTGAACATTAGAGCAGGGATAAAAAGACTCCTGCGTTAGCTCTGTTTCTGTCTTGGATGTTAGTCACTGATGGAATTCAGTATTTTATTTTTGCTGTGTGTTTAAATTACTGGATTTACAACAGTTCAGAACCCAGTATAATTATGATCGTTGTTTAAGATAGGGAAGGCTGTTTGATATAGGAAAATTCTCCAGTCTCCAGACCAGGGTTGAACCTTCAATCTATCCAACTGGTAGTTATATGTAGGGGGGAAAGTATATTGTTTCAAACAGAAAACATATCAATGGATGTCAGAACTGTTAAAAAACAAAACAGATATCCAAGTTATTTTAAAATTCCCATAGGTAACTTCCATATTGTAAACAGTATATTTGAGTCTATTCCTTGGTCACAGAAAAGTCCTATTGACGTCAACAAGGCATTTGCATTTGCATAAGTACAAAATTCAGGATTTTGCTTTTTGTTTCCAAGATGGGAAGTCTCAGTTTTCATTTGGAGCAATTATTTGGTCTTTAGCTTGGCTCACATGGATTTCAATAAGTGTCTGGCAGCTGGACTGGCTTGCTTCCAGCATTAGTGGATGTGTGTGATGTGGATATATATATATATATTCTCCGTACATGGATATTTAGACTTCCTCAACACATCAGAGTCATTTACAATATTGTTCTAAGTCAAACCGCCTTTCCTCTCTTAAACAAAGATCTTAATTCCACTGGCTTCTCCACCGGTGTGACTCCAATAATTTCAGCTAAACCACACTGGTGAAAATAAGTTCAGAATTAAACCCAAAGATCAGAAACTTGTAAGCTTAAAGCTGTCTTTGGGTGTTTTTCATTTGAGTTAAATCAAGAAAGGGGCACAAGGATCATTGCACTACCTCTGTACCCTTTGCTGATCTCCCCAGATTTCAAAGTTGGAAACTTTCGCTGCTCACGGAGTCTCAACATAGGTTTCAGAAACCTGATTCTCCAGGTTTTCTAACACAAATGAGGAGACGCAATGAGCATTCTAGGTGACCAAAATGGTAGCAGGGCAGAGCTAGTGCATTCATCTGTACTCGCCCCGCTTTCAAGTATCCTCATTACTCTATAGACCAGGGGTCAGCAAACTTTTTCAGCAGGGGGCCGGTCCACTGTCCCTCAGACCTTGTAGGGGGCCGGACTAATTTTTTTTGGGGGGGATGAACGAATTCCAGATGCTGTCAATCCGGCATGAGGCGGTTGCGGTGCCGTGGCGGCCGCTGAAGCGCCACCCTTCTGCGTCCCTCCCCATCCCCTCCTCTTCCTCCTCCCTCAGGCCGCCTCCTCAGCTGCCACCACTGCTGCCACCTCCGGGCTCGCGGGCGGGAGTCTCTCTCCCTCCCCCCCCTCGGGCGGGGAAGGGCCGATGGAACTCCTTGCGCCAGGACGGCGGCGCCAGCGCGCTCTCTCTCTCGTGGTGGAGGACCCCGAGCCGCTGCTTCCCTCCTGAGCCGGGCGAGCATGAAACCCGGGAAATTTAAGGGACATCATCAATAAGGGACAGCAGCGGGACACGGCGCTGGGATAAGGGACTTTCCCGCCAAATAAGGGACGGTTGACAGCTATGCACAATGACACCCCAAATGATGTAATTGCTTCAAATGCTTTGTGTTTAAAAAAAAAGCTGGTCCACTAAGCTGAGCACGGCCCATGAATAGCCCATCTACTGCTTGACTAGTCTCCTGTTTTTGCTGCCTGTGTCGGTTTGCACAGTATCGGAGAAGCTGTCGGGCAAAGGACACTCGGGCTTCGGCCACCGGCCACAGGAACAAGGTCTGATGCGAAGCTGCACAGCTTCTATTCAAGCAAGAACACCAGAAAGGAAGTATGAGCCTTCCTGAACTGGTTATACAATCCTGTTTACAACTCACTGCTCTGTTCTGGCACTGTCTGACTGATCTCCCTCATCTCCTCCCGCTCATTGTCATTTTAGTTTGTAAGCCTCATGACAGGGCTTGTGCCTCATTTTCGTTTGTGAATAGTGCCTGCCACTATAGTTTTCTACTTGATATTAGCTGCTCCGAGAGACAATTGTTTGAGTGAGATTGAAATATAATAAATAAATAATTAAAATATACGTTTGCCGGGCAGGATTTGACTTGGTTCATGAGTTGTGTAGGTCTCATCAATGTATATTCATTTGAAAGCAGACAACAGGCAAAGCGTGTTCTCCCTCATGGAGAGCACGTGTTGCGATCGGAGCTGACGAGACACCTCACTGTTGCTAGGCAAAAGGTTTGGCCATCCTTTAAGCAGGGGCGGGCTGTTACTGGGGAAATGTAGATGTTGCCATTTGTTGATTGACAGCCCTATTTGTTAAATACACTGCATGCAGCGACAAACTTCCTCTTTTCGCTGCGTGCTTCGGATCACCCGCCCTCCCTTCCCTAATTTTAGGCTGTTTGCTTGACCTTGCTATGCCTGTCATGGGGTCGTCTGCTCTTGGGGCAGGGGCCCGGTAGGAATTTTGTCCATTTGGCTGATTGGCTGGTGCCATTTGGCTTTTGCCTACTGCGTAGCAAATCGTCACAACTTGTAGGGTTGCGGTTAGGCATTGGTTTGGGAATTGGTTGGTGGAGGGGTATGGATTTGGCTGTGCCTGCCCCTCCAAAATGCTGCTGCTGCAAGGGTTTTCTGTTAAAGGAACCCAGGGGCTCGCCATACTTTTGTCCGAAACCCCCTGGCAAGGGGCTAGGGCCACGCAAGCCCCTGGGAGCATTCTGGGGAGAGGTGAGGCATGGTTCCCAGTCCCATCTCTCTCCCCAGGTGACTTACCCTTGCTGTCTTCACGGGGGGTGCGAATGTCAGAGCTGTCTCCGTGCGGGGTCAGTTAGTGCTACCAATGCCTAAGCAACCACTCACATTGCTGTAATTTGAATAAAGTTGTGGCCAAAATTATGCCAAAAACCTGAAACAAAAAGTAAGTGTCATTGTGTTTTTATTTGGGGTGTCTTGGGGACCTCAACGCACAAATGCCACATCTTATTTCAAAACCAGTTATAAGGTCCAGTGTGACTATTTTAATTCAATTGTTTATTTAGTAAGTATTGCAAGGTGTTGGTTCTAAATGTATTCTCCCTTCCTCTCCACTGCCAAAAACGTCCCAAGGAACTAGTCAAGGTTAGACTTCTTTTTCCATTTTGATAACCATATCAGTGTTACAGTGTAACCAGATAAGTGTTTCTTATCTGATTGGTGTGTTTCTTAATTGTGAGCTACTGAATCGTGTATCGATGTGCTTTTATTCCATTTGATTATCTACGAATCTTCTGGTGTTAAATTTGCCCCACATTTTTACATTTTTCTTTAGGAACATCCCAGACCAGAATATGAAACCAAATTGCTACAGAAGAAATCCCAAAGCGAAAAATGCAAAAAAGCATGTCAAGACGAGGTATGACATTTCAGTTTTACTGTAAAACAAAATGACTGCCTTGGTTTCTTCCATCTGTCTGTTTGGTCGTTTTAACTGTATCTAGTTTTGAAATTGTTTTGTGGGTCTTTGGACTGCAACAAAGTTTTGATTTGATTTGATTTTTACTGTATTTTTGCCTTCCATTTCTTTTCAACATGCATATTATGTTTTTCTTAGGGCCATAACCTTTAATTGATTAAAGCCTTGGTTGAATAAACCAGGTTTTGCTCCAAAAGACAAGTTCTTGCTTATTTTGGGATGGGTGGGCAGGGTGCTATTTTGATTTTGTTGTGTTCCTACAATTGAAAATGAAACAGATAATTTTCCATTGATGAATGGCAGTGTTTTTTTTAATAACTGATCCTTAAGTATTAAAAAAAGACTCATTTTCATCAGATACACGTTGACTGATATTTATTTCAAGTGAATTGCTTGGTTAACCGACAGCTTTGGACAATTCAGTGTTTCTGCTGCCACTGCCTAGATTCTGCAGAGTGGGACAGTCACTGCCACATCAGCAACCCGGCCATTTATGGTGGCAGTAGGAGAAGGTAGGGGGGACAGGCAGATGGAGTCTGATGCCAGCCAGTGTTGGCTGTAAGAGCATCTTGGGATCCAGCAGATTCTAGGCTGGCTTTGCTCATTTTGAGACTTTCTGCTGGTAGGGATATCACAGATGTACCTTCTGGTTTCCCTCATATACAGGAGGCAGAAGCGGTAGGTCTTCACCAATAGGAGGTCAGCTGAATAGCCCAGAGCAGGGGTGCCAACTCCTGGGGGCCCAACCCTCCCCCGCCCCAAATTTTTAAAGGAATGCCTGGGCCAGGGGTCAGCAACCCGCAGCTCTGGAGCCACATGTGGCTCTTTTACACCTTTGCCGCGGCTCCGGGGTGGATACTAGCGAGGGGAGGAGGCGCATTGTGCGCCCCGACACTCCCCACTGTGGCGGGCGCTGTACTGGCTGTGACGTCGTATGGGGGCGGTGCGTGCGTTAGTCACACACCGTCCCGACGTCACCTTCCCGCCCGTCCGCTACATTGTAAGGGGCATGTACGCTGGTCACTGCATTGAAAGGGGGCATGTACGCTGGTCACTGCATTGAAAGGGGGCATGTACGCTGGTCACTGTTTTGAAGGGGTGTGAAGAACACACACACACAAAAAGGTAACTTGTTAATTTAACATTTATTTCTTTTTTTTCTTTCTTATTTTTTTATTGTTAAAATAATTCAACATTAATACACATACAAACATACATTTCATACAACATACCTACATACCTACAACATACCTACAACATATCTACACTCAATCCCACAGATAATTCCCATCACCATCCACCACCCCTCACCCCACCTTTGTGTTAGACTTCCAATCTACTCAATTTGCAATTTCTTTCCACTTCTATTACTTTCTTTCACACACCTTTAACCTAATTTCATACTTCTTTTTCTATTAGACATTGTTATCCATCTTATTTAGTATTCCAATATTTGAAACGAAACTTGTTTATTCTAATAGGAGTTCTGATTTTTTGATATAGTTTTGCAAGTATCTTTTAAACACCTTCCAGTCCCTGTCTGCCTTCTCTTTTGAGATCCTTCCAATTTCTCCCATTGTTTTGGATATATTGTCGTACTCCAATAATTTGGCAAGCCACTCTATCTTTGTTGGTACAGTACTACTTTTCCAATTTTTCGCAATCAATAGCCTTGCGGCTACTGTTGCGTATAAATATAAGGTCTTGTCTTCTTCCTTTAGGCTTCCTGGTAAATTTAACGTTTATTTCTATGAGGAGGAGTAATTCTGAGGGGTCAAACAAAGAAATAATAAAAAAGTGACAAAAAAGTTATTTTTATAATGACGAGTTTTGCGGCTCCCAGTTTTTTTTTCCTTCGGAAACGGGTCCAAGTGGCTCTTTTTGTCTTAAAGGTTGCAGACCCCTGGCCTGGGCTCTTTCCTCAGAGCAAGGTGCTCTGGGCAAGGTGGCCCATGAGAGTTTCTATGCCACTGTGGCATTGTCGTGGCACCTAAAGTTTATTTTTTAGATTTTTTTTAAAAAAGTTAATAGTTAAACAGCTAAATTTAAAAGAGAATTTCTAACTACGATGGCAAAATCACAGCAGCACAGGCACTCCCTTTGAGCACCTTACCCACAATGCCTTTCTTTGAGGAAAGACACCGCAGCCTGTTCTCAGAGTGAGGCAGTGGCACAGTGAGCCAAGCCACACCATTAGTAGTGGCAAAACAATGAATGATTAAGGTGGCGGGTTGGGGAGAGAAGGAGGCAGGCCATGGTGGTGGCGGAGGAAAGGAGGAAGATGGGATTGCTCTGGAGAGCCATAGGAGCTGGGAGGGCAGGCATAGGTGGCTCAGTGTCAAGTGAGGAAAATAAGTGGTAAAAAGGTAAAGGTTCCCCTGCCCGTACGGGCCAGTCTTGACAGACTCTAGGGTTGTGCGCTCATCTCACTCAAGAGGCCGGGGGCCAGCGCTGTCCGCAGACACCTCCGGGTCACGTGGCCAGCGTGACATCGCTGCTCTGGCGAGCCAGAGCCGCACACGGAAACGCCGTTTACCTTCCCGCTAGTAAGCGGTCCCTATCTATCTACTTGCACCTGGGGGTGCTTTCAAACTGCTAGGTTGGCAGGCGCTGGGACCGAGCAACAGGAGCGCACCCCGCCGCGGGGATTCGAACCGCCGACCTTTCGATCGGCAAGTCCTAGGCGCTGAGGCTTTTACTCACAGCGCCACCCGCGTCCCCAAAATAAGTGGAGGAGTACTTATTTGCCACCCATCCTGACTGAGGCAATTTGCCTCTTCCTAGAGCTTGCCCAGGAATGCGGATGGTGCTGTGGTCTAAACCACAGAGCCTAGGACTTGCCGATCAGAAGGTCGGCGGTTCGAATCCCCGCGACGGGGTGAGCTCCCGTTGCTCGGTCCCAGCTCCTGCCAACCTAGCAGTTTGAAAGCACACCAGTGCGAGTAGATAAATAGGTACCGCTCCGTGGGAAGGTAAACGGTGTTTCCGTGCACTGCTCTGGTTCGCCAGAATCAGCTTAGTCATGCTGGCCACATGACCCGGAAGCTGTACGCCGGCTCCCTCAGCCAATAAAGCGAGATGAGCGCCGCAACCCCAGAGTCAGCCACGACTGGACCTAACGGTCAGGGGTCCCTTTACCTTTAGAGCTTGCCTGGATAACAGTGCTGGGTTTATGTATAAGCTAAACAAGCTATAGCTTAGGGCCCTACTCTCTTGGGGGCCCCCAAAAAATTAAAGGGAAAGAAAACTGGATGTACATTTCCAAAATATAAGATAAAAAACAAATAAAATAAAACCTACATACAGCAACAGTGTTTTGTGTTGTGTAGGCTCCTATGATATAAGTAATGGGCCCTGCCTGCTCCCTAAAATATCACTGGTTTGCTC